CTGAAATTTAGACTGAGTGGATCATGTCCTAGGCAAACACCCACATTATATTGATCAAGAATCATGGAAAGGTTTGTGTTGGAAGGGACCTTCAAGATCATGCAGCTCCAATTCCTCTGCCATGGACTGGGACACCTTCCACTATTCCAGATTCTTCCATGTCCTGTCCAAATTGGCCTTGAACACTTCAAGGCATAAGGCATCCACAATTTCTCTGGAAAACTCGTGACAGGGCCTCACCACCCTCACAGTAAGGAATTTCTTTCTAATATTGAATCTAAACTTATTCTCTTCCAGCTAGAAACCATTCCCCCCTGTCATGTCACTCCAGACCCTTGTCCAAAGTCCCTGTCTGGCTCTCCTGGAGCCCCTTTAAGCACTGGAAGAGGCTCCAAGGTCTCCCTGGAGCCTTCTCTTTCTTCTCCAGGCTGAACGTGGCCAGCTCTCCCAGCCTGGCTCCACAGCAGAGCTGATCCATCCCTCAGATCACCTTTGTGGCCTCTTCTGAACTCACTCCATCAGCTCCACGTCCTTCCTGTGCTGGGACCCCAAACCTGGATGCTGTTCTCCAGGTGGGTCTCAGCAGAGTGGATCAGAGGGGCAGAACCYCCCCTCAGCTGCTGCCCACCCTTCTTTGGATGCAGCACAGGACATGTTTGAATTTCTGGACTCCAAGTGCACATGGCTGGGTTATGTCCAGCCTCTCATCCACCAGTACCCCCAACTCCTTCTCCCAGGGCTGCTCTTGATCTGTTCATCCCCACAGCCTGGATTGACACCAGGGATTGAAACACAGGACCACTCATATCCCGGGTGGAAAGACTCATCCATCCATCCATCCATCCATCCATCCATCCATCCATCCATCCATCCATCCATCCATCCATCCATCCATCCATCCATCCATCCATCCACCCATCCATCCATCCTTCCTCATCAAACCTGGACACACAAGTCCTTTCCAGTGCAAGCAGCCTTTGGCCTGACAGTGGCAATTCCAACCCTAAATAAAACAACAGAGGCTCCTCCTGCACCCCCAAACCCTCAGGTGTCACCAATTTCCAGTCCCCCAAAGCACCACCAACTCCCAGAAAGTCCACAAAAACCCAAGCGAAAGCCACCAGCTGACCCCACTGCACAAAGTAGGTGAACTGTAGGAAGGAGRATAATAAAGATGGGCAAAGTAAATTAAAAGTTTTCAACAGTTCATTCCACTTTCATTGAGCAGAATGTGTTTATGGTAAAGGCAGGGAATCGAAAGTATTATTTTTATCATGATATTATTTACCCTTTCACACTTGCTATTTAAATCTTCCTGAAATCCCAGAAGAGCCAACAATTCAAAATATCATTTGATGTATGTGTGTGTATATATATATATAAGGAAGGGTAAGCACAGACTCATTCATTTTCAGAATGAAAATTCTTTTTTTAAATTAGATTTTAAGTGCTGTAATATCCATGTGCAAATTTATCAAGACACAGAATAATTATTTTTTCTCCACTCCCAATAAATATGCTCCAGACCTAGAGCAAGCATCTTGTTTGCTGGGAGATCTGGTCACACCAGAGGGTTGAGTGATGAGGAGCAAATGATGAGAGGTTTGAAATATTAAAAAAAACCAGAAACTAATAAATCAAGAGTTGTGAGGAAATGATTGAGACTGCTTACACAAGAGAAGATAACAATGAAAGGTTTTAATATTGAAATTTCTGCTCTACCAGTCTCTGTAGMCAATCTCAACTAAGTAACTTGAATCACAGAATACTTTGGGTTGGAAGGCAACTTTAGGATCATCCAGTTCCAATMCCCTACAATATGCARGAACACCTCCCATCATCCCAGGTTGCTCCAAGCCCCAWCCAACCCTKGAACCCTTCCAGGGATGGGGCAGCCACAGCTKCTTTGGGCAACCTGTGCCAGCATCTCACCGCCCTGATAGGGAAGAATTTCTTCCTGATTTCCAATCTAAATCTACCCTCATTTAACTAAATGCCATTCCCCCTTGTCCTATCACCYCACGCTCTTCTGGAARATCCCTCTCCRTGGTGTTGATGCAGATTCAAGTTTTTGAATCCCGGATGGCTCAGGGCAGCTGTTGTCTGACCTCTTGTAGCCTTCCTGCTCTGCCATCTTCACCAGCTGCAGCATCCTTTTCCCTCCCATCCTCAGGCTGGTCTCTGGACTTTTTCTGGTGTGTTAAATGCACTGATTCCCACTTTCCAGGGGTCATCCAAGCAACAAATAACCCTTCTTACTCTCTCCAAGGCCTCCCACCTTGTTGATTTGCTTTTGTTTATTAATGAAATTAAAAATTAGCCTGACCACGGATGCAACTTTGACGGACATCAGGAGGGAAGAGGCTGAGCAGTGCCGCCACATGTCCTGGCAGGGGTTGGAACTGGATGGTGTTTAAGGTCTCTTCCAACCCAAACCATTCCATGATTCTGTGATTAACACTCCAGAAAACATCCAGAGTTCAGCCCGAAGATGAGATGAAAAAGGGTATCACAGCTGGAGAAGACAGTGGAGCAGGAGAGCATCAYGGGGTCAGACAGCAGCTGGCCTGAGACAGAGGTGATTTAAAGAACAGAAACAACTGTACAGACACCTGGACCACAGCAATACAGAGCCCAGCAAGTCAGGATGGAGCCCTCCATTCACAGCCCCACTCCAAAGGGAAAATCAGCCTGGAAAAAGGGATAAATGCATGATAAAGTATAAACCTTATTTCTAAATAAAGAAAAAGGGTGGCAGAAACCCCTCATATTTTAATCAATCCTTCCCAGTCCACAGCACACAGCTGGTAAAAATTTAGGATTCAGTCTGCTGAATCTCAAATCCTTTGTGCAGAATGAAACACAAAGYAAAACTTGAGGGCACCACCCCACGCAAGGGTTTGCAAACAAACAACYGCTTGTTCCCCCAACACTCCCAGACACAAGGACGCACTTCAAGCTCCAAAATGTCACAGAAAACTTCAAATGCAAACAAGCAGAGGGTTCTGCAGTGCATATTCAGCGTRCTGGTGGCAGAATGAAACGTGCTTTTAGGCTTCCAAACCCTCTGCTTTTTGATATGCACACAAAGACACCGAGCAGTTCCATGGGAACACGAGGTTTCCCTGACAAAGTCCACTCCAGTGCCAGATGCCGGAGGTTAATTGTACCCCACAGCTCRGGGGAGCTTTTATTAAAAGCTTCAAACCACAAACACTTTCCAAAGTACAAAAGCAACAAAAAAAAGTTTCCGCAGTCAGCCAAGGACCACTGCAGAAAGCAGCGCTTTGTACATTWAAAAGTGGTTTTATTTCCTCTCCTTGTACTTCCAAATCCATCCCACTGCCTCAARCTCCCTGAATTAGCCTGGAAAAGGGGAAAAAATAATAAATAAACAACATCATGCCCTCTATGAGGTTAAAATTGAGCCAAAACCTGGCAGGTAACAACCCAGGAGCAGTTCCCAACAGATTGTCACTATGCTGGAAATCGATGAATCACAGGTTCTTTGTGTTGAGCAACTGTGGGACGGTGAAAATCTGGGTGCAGGGACATGCCATCCTCACCCAGTCTGCAGTGACATGGGACACAGGTGTGGTTCACAGAACCCTCAGCAAGTGGGTCCCTCCCTGCTCACAGTCCTGGGCAAGGCCAGCCTGTCCCCAAATCACTCATTACAAACACACAACCCTGTACAACAGCAGTCCTAGACCCCAATWTCCACACACAGTCCCWGTGCCAGCCCTGTCCCCATGTCACACACACCCTGTGCAGGGCCAGCCCTGTCCCCATGTTATACTTTGCCCTCTGTGCCAGGCCAGTCCTGTCTCCATGCCACACATCCCACTGTGCCAGCCCTGTCCCCATGTCACACACACCCTGTGCAGGGCCAGCCCTGTCCCCATGTTACACTTTGCCCTCTGTGCCAGGCCAGTCCTGTCCCCATGTTACACTTTGCCCTCTGTGCCAGGCCAGTCCTATCTCCATGTCACCCATCCAATTGTGCCTGTCCTGTCCCCATGTCACACATCCCACTGTGCCAGCCCTATTCCATGTCACCCATCCGATTGTGCCTGTCCTGTCCCCATGTCACACATCCCACTGTGCCAGCCCTGTTCCATGTCACCCATCCGATTGTGCCTGTCCTGTCCCCATGTCACACATCCCACTGTGCCAGCCCTGTTCCCATGTCACACACACACCCCCCAATCTATACCAGCCCAGCCCTGTTCCCATGTCACACACATACACACCTGTGCCCGGTCAGGCCTGTCTCCATTGTCACACCCTCCCTGGGCCAATCCTGTCCCCATGTCACACACACACACCTTGCCAGCTCTGGGGTCATGTCACATACCCACTTTGTGCCAGGCCAGCCCTGTCGCCGTGTAACACACACTCCAAGCTGTGCCAGGCCAACCCTGTCACACACGCACACCTGTCCCCGTGTGACACACACACCCTGTGCCAGGCCAGCCCTGTCCCCATGTCACAGACACACACTCCAACCTGTGCCAGGCCAGCCGTGTCCCCGTGTCAGACACGCACACCGTGTCACACACCCAGTCTCAGGCCAGCCCCGTCCCCATGTCACACAGACCCGGTGCCACCCCGATCCCCGCGTTCCCAGGCCGGGTCACCCCCGCGTCCCCTCAGCCGGACCGGCGCCCGCCCCTCACCTGCCGCCGCGCGCCCGTCACCGCCGGCACCCAAACATCACGTGACCAGCGCGGCCCCGCCCACCGCGACCACGTGCCCCTCCCTCCTCCCCATCGTTGTAGTCCTCACCCCGCAGGTGCCGCTGGGCTCATGCCCTCCTTTGGACTACAACTCCCAGAGTGCACCGCGACCGGCGTCCCRTCCCCTGCACTCGGCTACCAATCGGCGGACGGGACGGCCCGAAGGGGCCCCGCCCACCTGCCCTCGGCTCCTCCCGGCTCAGGGCGCCGCCCGAAGCCGCCCCTCAGGAGCTGCTCCGTGCCTGCCGCCGCTTCAGGGCGTGCTCTCTGCTCCACGCCCTCTTCATCCTCACTGCCCTCCTCATTTTCCCCCTCCATGGTGGGGGAACGGTTGAGGCAGCTGGGAGTGTTTATTCTGTAGAAAGGAGTCTCAGGGGTACCTCGTCACTCCACAACTCCTTGACTGCAGGGTTCAGGCCGGCCGGGGTCGGTCTCTTCTCCCAAACGACAAGAGATGGGATAAAAGGAAACGACCTCAAGTTGCACCAGGGGAGATTAAAGTTGGATATTAAGAAAATATTCTTCACTGAAAGGGTGGTCAAGCATTGGACAGGGCAAGTAGTGGATTCACCATCCCTGGAAATGCTCAAATAATRTGTAGATGTGATATTTGGGGATTAGTTTGGCCCTGGGTTAATGATTGAAYTCAATGATCTTACAACCAACCTTTTGGTCTTTTCCAACCTTAATGATTCCATGATTCTCTGACGGGTCGCTGCCCTCCTTTGTAGCCACACAGTGCCCAGGGCAGTGCTCACAGAAATAAATTAATAAACCCCACCAACCTGCTGCTGGTAAAACCCCAAATTCTGTCCAAAATACCACAAATTGCAGCCTGAGACTGGAGGTTCACCCAGTCAAAGTGCTTTGATAGAGCGGTCTGGAGTACAACTGTACCTGCGAGGGGTTTGCTTTTTATTTGCGAAGCGACAGCAGCTTTACGTGGTGGTTGGCTTGCAAAAGGAGTTGTAAAGAGGATTTTCTTGATAGAGCCTTTAACCAACAATTCATTTTAACAAGGGACTGACAAGCCAGCTGCCTGTTCAGAAATGGAGTTCTGCACCAGTAGCCCTGCTAAAAAAAAGCTTTAAAAGGGCTGAGGGGCCACCTGAGCCACCATAAACTTCAGGGTTTTACAGCACCGAACTGCTATCGGAGCAGTTTCCTCCATCTTTTGCTGCATTGATAATCATTTATTTCTGTGGACTCAGAAGAAAATCCCTTAGGAGAGGGGACGTAAAAACATACTGATAACGAAATACAGCTGTCTGGTTGTTGTCTGCAAAATCCTCTGACTACTGGTACATGTGTAACGCACTGTGTCTTGCTGGGTGGTTTTTTGGGAGTGGGGGAAGTGTGAGTTAATCCTACAAGAAGCATAGATTACATTTCAAAAACCACTGCGAAAAWTTTGCAGTAATTTTCAGTACAAATCATATTTACCTCCAGCATGAGCCTCATGAAAGTAAATAAGAAAAGAAATATATAAACACGTGCCAATATAAAACAGCCCAAGTATTCCAAGGGACAGCAATCATAAAAATTACAGTGGGATAAATCTCATATGACTACTTTGGTTTGCAGGCTGCATCTTGCTGGTTTTGCATTTTGGAGCTGGAGAAATACTGCTTAATCAATACGTGCGTTATTCATACAATAATAATGCTGTGTATTCTCTTGGGACATTTTTCTTCTGAGGAATTTGAGCTGTTGCAAACCTTCGCATTGTGTGCAGCAGGGCTGGTCCTTGTTATTAACAGCTGCTTATTGAYCTTTAACAGCTTTTAGAAGGAGCAAGGGTGGGGTTTTGGCACGGCATGGAAGTCAGGTCTTTTACATAAGCAGGGCAAGGTGTTGTGTGTCATTAAGATGTTGCTTTCTCTGAATTTAGGGGAAAAAAMCCCAAATAATTAACAGCTTTGTTCCATCCCAGAACGATAACATCTATAAATCTGAAAATTATACAGTCAGCTGAATGGGAACCAGAAGCTCCAGGGGCCAAAATTTTATTAAAACAGCTTAATCTTCATGTTTCTCGTGTTTTACTGGGAGGAGGTTGCCTGTTTGTCAGCTGCTGTGTGGCGTCTCCCAAGGTGGAAGCAGAGATTTCATTCCACGTGAACAAAACTCCTGGAGGTCAGACTTGTGTACCTGGAGGGATTTGGCAAATGTGGCTTGGGGGTGAAGTTGTCATTGGGTTGCTGCTTTGGAAAATTCCCCTGATTCCTCTGTGAAAATGAAATGGAGGATCTCTACCCGAATTTATACAAACTCAGCTGTGATGCTTTCACCTCATCCCTGCTGAGATGATTATCCAGTTAGGCTGGCTGTGCCTTTGAGGAATTTCTTCCACTCTTTGGAAGGAGTTTCCTTTTGGCTTACAGGTTTGTTTTGTGAATYATCTTAAATCATAACCTTTCAATAGCTGGGCTATTGCAGTATTTATGGGAAGGTAATCCAATTGTCCTCTTGGTTACTTTTTTCCTGAATCATGTGCATTTCACTTCACTGTAACAATTTTTATTACAGCCTATTACATACTTACAAATAACTCAGTGGGGTTGCATTCCTATTACTACAGGGCTTTTCTACAAAGCAAGAGAACCCAGACAAATAACTTGCATTAAATAAAATGGGGGGTTTAGGTTATAATTTGGATTATGTTCTTAACGTCAGGTTTATAATCCAAGCTACTATTAACTTCTCTCCAGTTTTGGATTGACTGGAAGTGTTGATAAGTTCAGGAAAAGTGAGGTAACTAAAAAACATATCACAAGAAAGTGTCAGTGAATGCTTAATTTATGCCATTAGCACACATTTGCTGTGTCATTCCCAATATCCAYGTAAACATAAGGGAAGAACAAAGAGCAACTTTTCCTTGCAATCAAACAAAGGAGGAAGCCTGGATATTTGTCTGGAGTATGTACAAATAAATTTCTCCAGATTTTAAAATGTTCTAGGAATTATTYATTCAAAATAGTTTTTCATTTGTGCTTAAGAAGACTTCACTTAAACAAACAAAAGCACAAAAAACCAAACAACCACAGAACTTCTTTTTCGAAGTTTTTTTCTTTATTTGGTCTAGTTTTTTTTTTTTCAGATCTAAATGAAAATTATTCCTTCCTTTCCTTCCTAGATTCCTACCTTCTTTTACTATTTTTTTCCTGCTATTTTCAGTAGTTGGGCTGGGCTTGTGGCTTTCCTGAAGATTGCTGGAAAAAGTAAAACAGTTTTTTTAGCAGTACTTAACTTTTCAATCTTGAATTAACTGGCCAATAGCACAGTTGGAACAGTGCTTTTTTTTTCTTTGATAAAAATGCTGTTTTCCACTCAAATGCCTTATACCCCGAACCAGTGAACTGCAAGGAGCACAGCAACAAATACAAGTTGTCCTGAATGCTTCGTGAAACCAAGGCTGACTCTTATTTCCTATTTTCAGACACCCATCCAGTGACCTAAGATTCCCTGAAAACAGCACAGCTCAGAGCTTATCACAGCACACATCCATATGTTGTTACCTGTGAGCAATTTAATAAAAAAGATATTATAGCAACAATAAAAGGAGTCTGGAAAAAGCCAGCTAATCCCCAAACAACCTTATTTCAGTCTATTTAAAGTCCAAGAGAGACTTGAATTCCTGGACCGAGCAAATTCTGGTATAAAACAGATGTTTTCATCAAGTACTGCAGTGGCAGCATTACATGTCCCAAGCTGGTGACTGCCTGGCAGGTCTGGTACGTCACAAGGAGGAATCACGAGCCATAAAGAAATGATTTTCAATATTTTGCACATTCCTGCATCAGTTACATCTGGTTATAGCTGCAATAGTGTGGATTTTAGTGGCATTTTGCCTGGATTTATCTGAGCATTGCCACATTTGACCCTTCCTTTTCTAGAGCCATCTGTTTGCATCTGAATTAGGAGAATAAAAGCTGCAAGCCAATATAAAAAACATTGTCTCCGAGGCAGCGATAAGTCAATCACCTCATCAATAAAGCATGTCCAATGCTCTSAGTAATCCCAGTGATCAGTTTTGCTTATGGAAGCTGGAGATGTTAAATCGAGCTCGGAGCAGGGATGACAAGTGGCAATTGAAAGTGATGTTGACAGAGCTAAAGGAGCCCACGCTGAGAGCAGCAGATGTAACACAACAGTGAGGGGACGGGGCTAAACCAGGCTGGTGGTGAGGAAAACTCAAAGGTCGGAACAAATCCCTCACTCCACTTAACTCCATGACAAAACACTGGTGATCTCTCTCTCGGTTCAGCAATGCTGCACCTGGATAATCAGGRGGAAAAATTGGCGGACGCAGAGGAGCTGTGGTCCGGGAGCTACGGGTACAAAGGATGCAAGGAAAAAACCACAGAGACTGAACTGATGGAGATTTCAGCTCTGAAAATCTCAGTGCTTTGCCCTTCCCTAGGACAGTTCTTCCCCGAGGCTGGGTTAGATGTGGKTTGGAGCAGCCTGGTTTAKTGGAAGGTATCCCTGTCCATGGCAGAAGGGCTGGAAAAGGACAATCTTAAGGTCCATTCCAACCCAGACCATTCTGGGACATCTAAAGGCATCAAAGTATGCAGGGAATAACTGAAAACCTCCTTTTTATGGTGCACTTGTGAAATAATGAGCCTGAACAAGGAACCCCTGAAATACAAGCGAGTGTATAGATATAACTAGGTATATTGACAAATAAGATTTTTTTTTTTTTTAATAGAAAATTAAAAGGTCTTCTGGATTTAAAGCATCTAATTCTGATATAATTCATCGTCTGGTGTTAAGGCTGAATTCCCTTTACCAGAGTCAAGTCTCTATTTGGTTACTGTTATTAAAGCTGCAGTTACTATTACTCATTAGTCAAGAATTGTTCTTCCTGCTTCTGCTCTCATCCAGTTAATAGATTTTTTTCCCCTGAATTACACATTTCCAAAGCCAAAAGGTTTTCTACACATTTGTGCTACATAATGTGGCACTTAAGAACATGGTTTAGTGAT